TTCTCAGGCCTAATGTGCTTGCTTAGTTTTTATAGAGCTAGTTCAATAGTCTTTTGCTATCATTTTCTTTTAGATCATGTCCTGCCTTAATGCCATTTCAGACATTTTACATTATAATGTTTCTTTCCACTGCTGGTACCTCAAAGTTGAATGAGTGTCGAAGTTCATGGCATTCCGGATGGTGGCTTGTAAAGATTGGCCTATGGATTGCCCTGTCTCTTGTAGCGTTTTTGGTTCCTTCTCAGATAATTCACATATATGGTTCGTAATTTATTCACTAAATGTTTATGCCTATGATTTTCCTTTTCACGTTGCTTTGATTAGTCAAACTCAGTTTAATTTCAATTGACTTCTTAAATCTAACATAGTTTTCCACCCTCCCTTTTCTGCGGATTCTTCCTTTGGCAGGGGAGATTGCGCATTTTGGTGCCGGGTATCAACTTTTCCTGTTACAAGTCTTCTTTATTAACACATGTGTAATATAATATCTATTAGAATTGAATGATGAGGAAGTTGGACATGGTTACATATCTTAGAAGTTCAGTTAGCCTTATGATTTGGCTTTTTATGTATGGTTTTCAGGGTCTTCCTCCTAGTTCAGCTTGTAAGCATAATCAGTTTCATAACATGGCTAAATGATTGTTGTCACTCAGAAAAAAATGCCGAGAGATGGTAAGTCTAGTCTCCCCATATGGTGAAGCTGAAACTAGTTTAAGATTGTTTCTTTCAATTTCAACAATCTTCTTGATAAGCACTAAATGCTTACTGCTGCTTTTTAATAAGTGATGAAGTGCTTCCAACTTTAGTCCCAAGTGGACAAGTAAAAAGTTGGAGATTTTGAACCAAATTTGATTGAGGGAAAGGCTTAGTGCTATTCTATTCTCTGTTTATCTGGATTGCTTTGTTGATTAAAATAAGATTTCTATTGCAGCCACATCCATGTGATGTTATTTGCAGCTTCAGCTTATGTTATATGCATAGTGGGGATCATTTTGATGTACATCTGGTATGTACCAGATCCATCTTGCCTTATTAACATCTTCTTCATCACATTGACTTTGATACTTCTCCAGCTCATGACTAGTGTCTCCCTCCACCCGAAAGTATGTTCTGTTCACCTTTTGCCTTTCAATTTTCACATTCTTGTAATGTAAGTCTAACATTAAATGGCTTTCATCTCACTGAAACAGGTCAATGCCGGCTTCTTGACTCCAGGACTCATGGGGCTCTATGTGCTATTCCTTTGCTGGTGTGCCATTAGAAGGCAAGGTTTCAAATCATTTAGCACTAATTAATTTCACTCTCCATCCTTTCCTTGCCTTGCTTTCAGTATTTGGAGTCCCAATTCATGTGTCTAACCGAGAAAGACATACATCTTAAGTTTTTACATTTCCCTCATATTTATTTACCCTTCTTAAAACCTTGGTTGGAGACTATCTTAAGCCAATATTATAGTATTATACCATTAGAGCAGCTCTGAGGCAAAATGCTTGATAGTTGATTCATAATCTACACAACTAATTTCTATTGCTTCACTCTAGCAGCTTACTCTCCATTGATTTCCAACTTTATTTAATTGTTTGCAGTGAACCAGTAGAGCAAAGATGCAACAGGAAGGCAGAGGCTTCAGATGGAAAAGACTGGCTTACCATCATAGTAATATTTATGTCATCTTATGACTGTTCTTCTAAGTTTTGCAATTATGTGCATCTTTTCTTAGAGACTATGTCTTAAAGAAGCTTTCATTTTTTTCATCTCCCTTACTTCAATGGTTGTTTCATTTTTTTCTTATGCTTCCAGAGCTTCGTAGTTGCCCTACTCTCAATCGTTATTGCAACATTCTCAACGGGTATTGATTCTCAAAGCTTTCAGGTTTGTTCTACTATCTGCAAAAATGTTTAATTGGTTTTCACTGTTTTTCGACAAAAGATGCTTATCCTGGCTGCTGCAGTTTAGGAAAAAGGATACTCCGACTGAAGATGGTGTCCCATACGGTTATGGCTTCTTCCACTTTGTTTTTGCCACTGGAGCAATGTACTTCGCAATGCTATTGATTGGCTGGAATACTCATCATACTATTAAAAAGTATGTCCCCTTTTTTCCCCACATAGTTGTTGACATAATTTCCCCGTGAAGATGATGCCACTAAATCCTTATATCAATAAGGCTGCACGCAATAAATTTGTTGAAGTAGTTTTAGATAAAGGAGCTTCCTCTTTAAAATGATGGGAAGGAAGTGATGTGTATTTGTTTGCAGGTGGACAATTGATGTGGGATGGACCAGTGCTTGGGTCAGGATAGTGAACGAATGGCTGGCAGTCTGCGTCTATAGTAAGTACTTAAAAGCAAACAAAGTTGGCATGAGACCAATCCTCTCCTACCACTATGACAATTGACAAAAGATTGGATAAAATAGCATCATTTTGGATAAAATTTCTTTTTCTCAGCAAATTCCAGATGCTTGGATTTGGAGAAAACACTTTAATTTCATGTACTTAAAATACTCAAAGTAGAAGATTATAGGCTAAAATCAACATATTAAAGGGTGAACATTATCTTCTTGCAGTATGGATGGTGCTGGCTCCAATTATATTGGAGAGCAGACAAAGCATGTACATGAATCAGATTCCTCATTAATGAAGTGAAGACTCAATTTCTGTCCCAGCTTCGAGAGAAAGCAGGAAAGTGCATATTATTTGAATTTGGTTAACCAATGCCCAATGATAGCTGTAAAGGTGCAGTTAAAGGAAGATATGTGTAATACCTTTGATCGATGGATTCAATATTTGAAAATTTTCATTTGTTTAACTTTTCAGGTAAAACCTATTTTCACACTAGTTTTGCAGCATCATCCAAATCCAGTTGTGGAGTCCACACACTTACTAAAAGAAAAATGGTATTCATGCCAAATAGCATAGGCTGAAAAAGAGTCAACATTGTAATTGGGTGGGGCTCTTTTCAATCTTGTGTTTTTGTGTGGGTTTACTTGTATTATACGGATATTCGGCTCTTATTTGGGCTGAAAAACATTTTTTTTATAACCCAGAATATTTTCTTGTTTTTTTGGGAATCCTGAATTACATTACCCTTACTCAAAGTGAGTGACACAGATCCAGCTCTGGGGCACACTTTTGAGCTCAAAGTTGAGGTCTACTGCTGGATTTGAAGGATGAAGCAAATTCAACAGTAGAAACTAGAAAGTGCTGCGCCTTCACAAGCTGTGCCCATAATCAAATTGTTTAGTTGGCTTCGGATTTTAAGCTAAAAATTTCAGATTTAAATTTTAAGTCTAGACAGAATGGGAAGCGATATACCTGTATTAGCCCATAATCAAACGTTTGTAAATTCAAACTGTTACTATGTCAGAGGAAAATCTCTAGATAACGTATGTATCACATTCTAAATTTTATTTCCAGCTTTGACATTAAGCATCCGTCCATTCCAACAATGAATTGTCATTTGTCAATATCAGACTATCGCTTGGTTCTCAGACAGCCAGGTCATTTTATACATGACCTGCTCTTAAACCGATGCCTCGTTTAATGAAAAAGAAAATGAAAGCTATCCGTATATCTCATATGTTCAGAATTTGTTAACATCCGCGAAAATCCTTAGTCAGCCGTACACTTTATTAATCATGAGAGTACCAAGTCATTTAACTTATAGTATAAAAGATTTAACCTTTTGCTTTATTGATTTTAAGATATCAACCTCTCAACATATAATATAAAAATTTTAATTTTTTATCTTTTTAATTTAAATAAAAATACCCAAAATATACGATAACGTCATGTATCTGTCAAAATTTCATTACTCATTACCTATTATCATGTCAATGCCAACATGGCAATTCTTTACCATCATGATATTGCCATCGTATCAAGAACACAACTCTTCACTTTTATTAAATTTGATAAAATTAAATCTAATCTACAAATCTGATCTAACATATTCGTTATAAATAAAATAA